TCGATTGGCTGCTGAAACTGGTATGTTCTTTGTGAAGTTCTCGTGTTGTGTTTTTCAGCTCCATCAATTCATTTATATTCTTCTCTAAGCTGTTTATTCTCATTAGCATTTCTTCAAACCTATTTTCAAGGTTCTTAATTTCTTTGTATTGGGTGAGAACATGTTCTTTTAGCTCACAGAAGTTTGTTATTACTCACGTTCTGTTTCTGTCAATTCATCAGACTCATTCTCCATCCTGCTTTGTTCGCTTGCTGGTGAGTTGTGATCCCTTGGAGGAGGAGAGGTGTTCTGGTTTTGGGTGTTTTCATCCTTTTTGCACTGGTTTCTTCTCACCTTTATGGATTTATCTACCTGTGGTCTTTGTAGTTGGTGACTTTGGGATGGGGTCTCTGAGTGGACATCCTTTTTGTTGATGATGAAGTTATTTCTTTCCATTTTATAGTTTGCCTTCTGACAGTCAGGCTCCTCTGCTATAGGACTGCTGGAGGTCCACTCCAGACCCTGCTTGCCTGAGCATCACCTGTGGTTGCTGCAGAACAGTCAGGGTTGCTGCCAGTTTTTTCTTCTGTTACCTTTGTCCCAGAAGGATACCCACCAGATATCCACCTGAGCTCTCCTTTATGAAGTGTCTCTTTGGATGTACAGGGGTTGGGGAGCTACTTGAGGAGACAGTCTGTCCCCCATAGGCGCTCAAGTACTGAGCTGTGAGCTCCATTGTTGTATTCAGAGCTGCTGGGCAGGTACATTTAAGTCTGCTGCAGCGGAACTCATAACCGCCATTTTTTTTCCAGGTGCTCTGTCCTGGGAAGGTGAGGGTTTATATTTAAGTTACTGATGTGCTGCCATCTTTTTTCAGGGACACTCTGCCCAGCGAGGAGGTAGCCTAATCACAGTCTGCCAGCAGAGGCGTTGCTGAGCTGCTGTGGTCTCTGCCCAGCTGCCGTGTGAACTTCTTTGTGGTTTTGTTTACAGAGATATAGTTAGAACTGCCTCAGTAATGCCAGACTGCCTCGGTGATGGCGGACTGCCTCAGTCATGGTGGACTGCCCTTCCCCCCACAGAGCTGTAGTGTCCCGGGTCCAGCTGTGCTTGCTGTGAGACTCTCAATCCAGAGCATTTCAGATTACTGGTTTTTTTGGAGGTGGGACCTGCTGAGCCAGATCACCTGGCTGCCTGGTTCAGCCCCCTTTTTTTCAGTTGAATGAGTGACTGTCTTCCAGGCGTTTTAGGTGCCAGTTGAGACGGCTCCCCAGATTTGTGTGAGTTTTTCTGCGCTGCTGCTCCTGGCTGAATCAGCCATGCTGGAAACTTGTGGCAGTTTTCCACTTGGGAATCTCCTGGTTGGTGGGCAGTTAAAAACTTGTTTGGAAATGTGGTGATCACTCACTCTCTGTGTTCTGGCTGGGAACTGCACTCCAGAGCTGATTCTATTCGGCCATCTTGCATCTTGTCAAAAAGTTCTTTCTTTTCTAAAGCAAGTAATATCACCAGTGATTGTAGTTTTTTGTTTGTTCTTAGTAACCTGAAGTTTCAGGTATCAGTGAGCTTAAGACAGGGTGTGTTTGCTTTATATTTATATAAACAATATTGAATATTGGTTCAGATTACAAATAACAGAAATGCTACTTGGATAGTTTAAATTGAAGAGATCACACTAATTTTTTTCCATAGTAACGGACTATTTTGATATACACGGAAATTTTAAATTGCCTCATTTTCAATTATTGCCATTAAATTATATCAATTAATCTTAGGTTTATCGTACGTTCTAGACCACTATAGGGACATTGATTTTTTTTCCCATGTTTGTATAACTAACTAATCTGGACTTTGTGTCCAAAAAATGCTATCAGCTTAGCTATTAAAATGGGTAGAAAATCTTAAAAATCTGTCAGTAGGATTTTAGTGATTTTTAAAACAGTAATAGAGAAATAGAAGAAAAACTGTTACAGTACCAAGTAAATGGCACATAACACATTTCCTTCTGCCTTTGTGGAATTTTAAGGAAATGAGAAGATGAACTGAGCTGTTTGTCTTACACATCTGTCATTTGGAAGTAATGCACGATGTTGATTTGATGTAATTTGTTAAGTTGGATGAGAATGCATGTAGTTTATAGACTGTTAAATTGAAATAATGTCCCCCTATCTGGCCAGAGGAAGATTACCCACTTCCACTGAGCGTGTGTTTGTGGGTTTTTGTTTTTTGTTTTTTGTTTTGTTTTTTTTTTGTTAGGAGGTTGGATTTTCACCGACCAGTCTACATTTTTCTTATTCCTTTGTGACAAGTCATCTGTAAGATGACTGGCTGGTCTATGTCAGAGATGCTGCCTCTAGTGAGGTCCTGTGGTGAAGAGAAAGGGGAAGTGTGTTCCCACTTGCTGATGCTGATCAGTTGTTTAAGTAGCTGTATACGTTACATAAAGTTCTTTTTTTTTTTTTTTTTTTTTTAGACGGAGTTTTGCTCTTGTTACCCAGGCTGGAGTGCAATGGCGCGATCTCGGCTCACCACAACCTCCGCCTCCCGGGTTCAGGCAATTCTCCTGCCTCAGCCTCCCAAGAAGCTGGGATTACAGGCACGTGCCACCATGCCCAGCTGATTTTTTGTATTTTTAGTAGAGACAGGGTTTCACCGTATTGACCAGGATGGTCTTGATCTCTTGACCTTGTGATCCGCCCGCCTTGGCCTCCCAAAGTGCTGGAATTACAGGCGTGAGCCACCGCGCCCGGCCCTAAAGTTCTTTAGAAACTGACTCATTATATAGAAGCCCTTAGGACTGAAAAGAAGCCATAAATTATGAGCTCATTTGAGCTCAGAACGTGAATGCCCTGCTGAATGTTCCCATAGCACAGTGAATAACATAGTTAACCTGTCCTTTATCCTTTTCCTGGCACACAATCCCTCCTGCTACTCCTTCACCCTCCCCTGAATACAACTGGACATGATTTATGAGTAATAATTGAATTTCTCACATAGCGTAGCTGAGCTGTCCTTTGTAATCAAGAGTCCATATACCCAAATATATTCTGCTGCCACACATAGCATCCCATTGGAAGAATAGCTGGCAAGTGCTCAGTTCTCTAAATTGTTGCAATAAGTTGGTGAAGCTTTTTTTCTGTACTTCACCTGCCTTTGGAGTTGAAATGTTTTCAGTTCTCTCAGCATTAATGTGTTTAAAGGAAAAGACCTCTCTTTAGTGACGTAAGGTCTCAAGATGAAATATGAGTGCTATAGCCTGTCAAAGTGATTGCTGACTTGCATTTAAAATAATGATGGTGCTGATTGATGGCAGCTCTGAGTTAGGTCAGACATGGACACTGGCCATTCAGCTTCTGTTTGGTATGATTGGCAGCCAAAGACAATATAGAAGTAGGAAAAAATGTGTGTGTATATGTGTATATATGTATATGGATGATGGATTATACAGCCATGCTTCTCCATATTTTGTTTTGTGAGGTAGGGGAGACGGTTTCATGATTTATAGATGGATAGAAAAATAACTTTGGATGGAGATGTTTTTGCTAAACTGCTGAGCTACATGTCCAATCTGTTATTAAGTAATCATGGGCCTATCCTTTTGCACGCCTGATCTTCCTCTGACCTGGAGGGAGGTAACTGCGTTCTGAGCATGCTGTTGGGCCTTCTCCTCCCGTCCGGGTGAATGTCTCCGTCATTCCTGCAGTTAGAATTATGCTAATTGATATGGTATCCTTTTTTTTTTTCCAGTCGTAGAAATTTTTTTTTCCGTAATCCCTCTGTCAGAAGGATGAATCTGCCTGGTGATAGAGAATGTTCTGTCTGTTCCTCCCATCTACTCATTCCTGTGTCTGTTACCAGGATTCAAGTGCTCCAGATAAATATAGGTTCATTTGGGCTTGATAGGGTTATTGCCCCCATTCGAGAATGGATCCCTGCAGCATAAAGATATGATACCTGGCCAAATGGCATACCAGTCTAGGAAGGGAGGAAATGAACACTGATGGAATTTCTGCATATGTAGAGCATATATAATAGCTGAAATTGGCCAGGTACAGTGGCTCATGCCTGTAATCCCAGCACTTTGGGAGGCTGAGGCGAGTGGATCACCTGAGGTCAGGAATTTGAGACCAGCCTGGCCAACGTGGTGACATCACATCTCTACTAAAAATGCAAAAAAATTAGCTGGGTGTGGTGGCAGGTGCCTGTAATCCCAGCTACTCATGAGGCTGAGGAAGGAGATTCGCTTGAACCCGGGAGTCGGAGGTTGCAGTGAGCTGAGATTGTGCCATTATACTCCAGCCTGAGTGGCAAGAGCAAAACTCTGTCTCAAAAAAAAAAAAAAAAAAAAAAAAAAGTTGGAATTAGTTAGATTTTATTATATGCCAGACACTGTTCTATGCCTGTTACACATTATCTCTCTAAATATTCAACAACCCTATGATGTAGGTATGTTATTTCCCCCATTTTACAGTTGAGGAAACTGAGGCATAGAGTGGTTACCTTACTTTCCTACTGCACAGCTAGCATTTGGAATTTCAGTCCAGCATTCTGATTCCCATCTGACTATAGATCTCTAAGCTGTATCAACCTTTTTTTACAGTTACTAACTAACCCTGATTTCAAATAATTCACATATGTTTATTTAGGCTATACCTGGATTTTGAGGTAAGACCTTACTAACCAAAAACTGATCCCCAGAAATAGGGAGACCGTTTTATTAAACTTTATTAAGTGATGTCAAGAGGTGTTACTTGATTTTTCTTCTAGAATTGGTATTTACATTTTTTTGTTTGTGTTTTCCTCCCATCAACGCTTTTGAGTGTTACGTGTCAGATGCCTTATTAGTTACTAGAAGCATGGAAATTGCTTCAATAAGACTGTAATTGTATCTAGTGATAAAATGTTAGAGAAACATACTGGGTGCCCATCATTATTAGACCATGTTTGCTTAATACTGGTTTCTCAGTGAGAATGTGTTTCCAATTGTGGGTGTTCCTTTTTTGTCTTCCTTTTGCCCCCAGGCATTGTCTACCCTGGACTCTATCACTCTGATGTACCCTTTCTTTTACCGTCCTATGTTTGAAGTGACAGAAGATGGCTGGCATTCCTTCCTTCCTGAGCAAGAGTTTGAACTGTATTCCTCAGCTGTGAGTTAACTTTTGAGAAATGTGGGTTATGAGAAGTAACCCAATACCTTATTTGACTTGTGAAAATGATTACTTCTTTTGAAGAGTAATAAGGTGAAGTTGACTTCTCCATTGCTAATCTTAATATGTTTAAAAGGATTGAAGCCATACAGAGTATAATCTCTGATCCAAAAGGAATTAATAATACAAAGATATCTAGGAATACCCCCAAGTACCCCCAAGTATTTCTAAATTAAACAAAACACTTGTAAATAATCTTGTGTGTCAAAGAAATTAAAAAACATTTTGAACTAAATGATAATGGTAATGTGACCTACTAAAATTTGTGGAATACAGACAGCTAAGGCAGGGGTTAGAGATAAACTTGCAGCTTTAAAATTTTTATGCTAGAAAAGAAAGAAAAATCTAAAATCATTCATCTAAGCACCAACGTAAGAAGCTAGAAAAAAAGAGCAAAGTAACTAGAAAAAATAATAAAAATAAGAGCAGAAAGCAATAAAATAACTAGAATAAACAAGTGTAGCCAAGTTGGTTGATCTAAGATTAGTATACAAAAACAAATTGATTTGGCAACAAGTGATCTGGCAATGAATAAAATAGGAATAAATTTAACAAGAAACTCAAGATTATGCACTGAAAGACATAAAAAATTGTTGGAAGAAGTTACAGGAGATCCAAATAAAAGGGGAGATATACTGTATACACCAATTGAAAGACAATATGGTTAAGGTCAGTGGTTAGCTGACACATGTGAAAAGGACCATTAGATAATAGATGTTTTAAGCTTTGTGGGTCATGTGGTCTCTCTGTTAAAACTACTGAACTCTGCTACTGTTGCATGAAAACAGCAATCAGGCAAGACATCAATGAATGGGTGATACTATGTTCTAATAAACTTTATTTACAAAAACAGGCATCAGGCTGGATTTGGCTCATTAAAGTGGCAGTTCTCCTCAAATTGTTCTATAGAGTCAGTGCAATCTCTGTTAAAATTCTAATAGGTGTTTTTGTGGAAATGGACAAGATGATACAAGTTTTATGGAAATGCAAATTTAAATGTATAAGTTTATATGGAAAGCCAAAACAGCTCTGAGAAAACAGTAGTTAAAAGGATTTACATACTTGATTACAAAACTTGTAAAACCACAGTAATCAAGAGAGTATGGTACCGGCATAAGGAAAATGTTAAGTAGCTGATTAGAAACAGCTAAAGGGAGAATAAGTGATTTGGAATATAGATCTGAAGTAATTACTCAGAATGCAGAACAGAGAAAGAAGATGGAAAAACAGAGAGGTTAGACACATGCATGCATAGTAAAGGGAAGATGATCCAATATTTATCACTTAGGAGTTTAGGATAAAAGATGATAGAGACTGGGTATGGTGGCTCACACCCATAATCCTAGCACTTTGGGAGGCTGAGGCAGGCAGATCACTTGAACTCAGGAGTTTGAGACCAGCCTAGGGAACATGGCAAAACCCCATCTCTGAAAAAATTTAGCTGGGTGTGATGACGTGTGCCTGTGGTCCCACTTACTTGGGGGTCTGAGATGGGAGAAATGCTTGAGCCTAGGAGGTTGAGATTTCAGTGAGCAGTGATCATGCTGCGGCACTCCAGCGTAGATGAGAGAGCAAGACCCTGTCTCTCAAAAAAAAAAAGAAGAAGAAAAAGAAAAAGATGATGTTAGAAGGAAGACAATATTCAAATAAATAATGGTTGATAATTCTCCAGAATCAGTAAAAGTTATTGAACCCTTAAGCCAAGGTATCCCAGCAAATACCATACAAGATAATAAAAAACATCTTTATACATGTTGTTGTTCAGCTACTGAACAATAAAGCAAAGAGAGTATCAGAGAATTAGAGAAAAGACAAATTACCTGCATGGTGTTAGATTAATAGAGGAAAAAAATTTCATCAATATCTGTTGATGATAAAAGCTCTTAGAGCTGGATTTGAAGGGAATTCATCTAATCTGATAAAGGATGGCTACCAAAACCAAAAACATACCAAAAGCAAGTCTTGTATTACTCCCTCTAGGTTCAAGAATGAGGCAGAATGTCCATTATTACTGTTCCTGGTCAGCTCAGTAGGACAAGAAAGAAAAACACAGGGTAGAAGGGTTGAAATAAAGGTAGAAAAATTGTTGTGTGTTGATTCTATGCTTGTCCACATGGGAAAAGGAAAGAATCTTGAGACCATAGGGATTTCTCTACACCAGACACAATTTCAAGAGATGCAGTTAAAGTGCAACAAAGATGATAAGGTTCCTAGGGATATATCTAAGAAAAGATAGTAAGACCATTGTTGAGAGCATTATAAAAATTTATGGAAAAATTTTTAAAAGCTTAAATAAGTGGAGAGACAATATACTCATGGATAGAGAGACTGAATATTCTAAAGCTGTAACTCATTCTCTCTGATTTATAAAGTCAATACAGTCTTATTAAAAACCCCAGTTGGTTTACACTGAATTTGATAAAAGTTACACGGAAGACCAGAAGATCAAGAGGAGCCAAGTTACTCTTTGAAGAATAGAAAAGTAAGAGGAGGACACTTAGCCTACTAGGTATCAGACTCATTTTAGAAGTTATAGAAGTTACGGAAGTGGACCAGTGGGATGGGATAGAGAACACAGCACATTTGGACTGACAGAAGTGGCGTTGCAGATCAGTGGAGAGTCATGTCATTCTCCAGAGTGGGAAATCAATAAATAATATGCCATGGTGAAAATTCAGGAAATAACAGTATAATCATGTTGTTTAGAAATTTAAAGGTAAGTCGGTGTGGTGGCTCGTGTCTGTAATCCCAGCACTTTGGGAGGCTGAGGTGGGTGGATCACCTGATGTCAGGAGTTGGAGAGCAGCCTAGCCAACATGGTGAAACCCCGTCTCTACTAAAAATAAGAAAAATTAGTTGGGTGTTGTGGTGGGTGCCTGTAATCCCGGCGACTCAGGAGACTGAGGCAGGAGAATTTTCTGAACTCGAGAGGCAGAGGTTGCAGGGAGTCAAGGTTGTGCCATTGTGTTCCAGCCTAGGCGACAGAGTGAGACTCCATCTCAAACAAAACAAAAGAAAACAGAAATTTAAAGTTAAACACCAAAAAAGCTAAAAATACTGAAAATGATTGCCTTTGGGATGGACTAGCAAGGAACAGGTAACTCCATTCTTCTGAAGATAATAAATCTTTAGAAAGTGTGCGTTTATTTACTTATTAGTTTTTGAAACAGAATCTCACTCCGATTGCCCAGGCTGGAGTGCGGTGGCGCTGTCACGGCTCACTGCAACCTCAGCTTTCTGGGCTCATATGATTCCTTCACCTCACCATCCCAAGTATTTGGAATTATAAGGGTGTGCTACTATACGTGGCTAATTTTTGCATTCTTAGTAGAGACCTGGTTTGGCCATTTTGCCCTGGCTTGTCTTGAACTCCTGGACTCGAGCAATTTGCCTGCCTCAGCCTCCCAAAGTGCTGGGATTACAGGTGTGAGCCACTGTGCCTGGACTAGAAACTATGTTTTTAAAACTGGTAACATAAATGTATTTGAAAAGTGAAAAATTAACTAAAAATGTGATACTGTATGTTATAAAAGCATTTTTAAAAAGTGATAATCTTGTCTTAGAATACATCTAACATACTGCGTTAAGTTAGGCCAGCTCAGATATACAGAACATGCTGAAATTTACATATAATTTGATTTTTTTTTTTTTTTTTTTGCTGTAAAACCTTTTGACAGTCTTCAAGCAGTTTTCCGTTCTGATTTTTAAAATAAGTTGTCATTTGTTAGTTTTATATTGTATGCTTTTAGTCCTTAGTGTATTGAGTTTGAAATTATTTCATTGACTCCTAAGCTTAACCTTCCTGAGTAGTGAGTTGTTACTGTTTTAAGAAAGGTGTTATCAATTTTAGTACATTTTTCTCCTTTTCTAAATAACAGAAAAGAACAAAGGACTTGATCTAGGTACTAGCTGTGTTCTCATCTGTCCGGGGGATGCATTATCTGGAGTCTTACAGTCTTACTTGTGCTTTAAGAGGATCATTAACAAACTAAATGGGACCCAGAAGAGGAAGAAGTGGGATGATGCTGGCCATGATAATTATGGGTGTGCTTAATATATTTAACTTCCAGAATAGACACTAAGGAGAAACAACCGTCTTTCAAACATTTGCTAGGATACCGTGTGAAATAGGGAACTTGTCCCGTATTGTCTGAAAGTTCGGTAAAAACCAATAGAGAAAGTTACAGAGCAACAAGTTTTGCTCAGTATGAGAGAGAACTTTCTAGGAATTGTTGACACCTAGCAATGCAGGAAGCTGGTCCTGAACCACAGAACTCCTTTTCTCTGCAGCCGTTTACGTATAAGCTAGATAGCCTCCTCTTCAATTCCTGAGAAATGGCTTCTTCGTCAGTGAAAGTTGATCTCTAAGGTCTTTTAAATTTTCTCAGATTATTTTATGACATTGAAATAGTTGCTTAGCTTTGAAGTATTTTGTGTTTTTCAGACCGGTGAATGGAGGCTAAGCTATGTCAATAAGGAATTTGCTGTCTGTCCCTCTTACCCACCAATTGTCATAGTACCCAAATCCATTGATGATGAAGCTCTTCGGAAGGTAGCTACATTTCGACATGGAGGGCGCTTCCCAGTACTAAGCTATTATCACCAAAAAAATGGGATGGTAAGTGGACAGCGCTACTGTTTGATGTACTGAAAGATTTGGCTGGGGGATCTTTTCATAAAAATGTTCCTTTTTTTCTGTTCATTGACATGATTGTCCAAGTCTCCACCAGTAGGGATTCCTCCATGTCAGCTTTAGGGAATCAGGAGTAGAGTGTTTTCTGTGGTGAGGATGTGCCTCTGAATTCTTTCCATGATCCTGCTCGACCTCACAGAAGCCCTGAGAGACACTGTACAAAGGAAACTAGTGTTTATTTGATGCTTATGGCAACATTCTTGTGGTAGAAAAATGAGAAATTTCTGTGCTCAGAATAATTTAATTTTTCTTACCAACTTTCCATGTGGAAGGCAAATTGAGCAGAGCTATTTATTTTCAAAGGTAGAAGAGTGATGCTCATGTCGTTTAGTCACAACTCTCGTAAACACTGGGTTAAACAAGGAGCTAAGATAACTTCCTTATAATGGTGGTCTCTTGAAAGAACTCTAAACCATTCACCAGAAAAGAGATTAGCATAACACACTGATTACTTGAGAAAAGTTTTGAAAGCAAACATTTCCAGATAGATAGTTGGTAGGGTAGTTTTTGGAAACAAGTAGTTAAATCCTGGAATACCGAAAAGGATGATGGCGGCCACTGGAGGATAAATAATAGACAATCAGCTTTTGACATATTGAAAATGATTTCCCAGACAATGAGAACAGTGTTTGAACTTTTAAATTTTGCCACTGGTGCCTTTGCTTTCTATAATTCTTGTTAAAACCTGCCAACTCTATGTATGTTTAGTTGAAGTCAAGGTTTACTGGCTCATAGGCCATTATTATCTTTATTACAGGGCCAGGTCTATGGGTATTTGACCCACACACTAAATGAATTGCAATATTTGATCTTAAAGAGGTGATACGATTTATTATGTGAAAGTATTTTGAGACAGAAATTGTGCAAAAGCTCAAGGCTTATCTTTTGCAGTTACCAATTGTTGTCAATACATGCAAATATTTCTTTGCTTATGGATCAAATCCATCTCCACAGCGTCACAGGATTATTTTTGAGATACTCTTAATCTAGCTAATTTCTTTCTGTTTTCAGAAACTTCAAAAGCAACTGCTGTTGAATTTTCAGCTTTACTGTGCTTCTAGGTAATTATGCGAAGTGGCCAGCCACTCACTGGCACAAATGGGAGGAGGTGCAAGGAAGACGAGAAGCTGATCAACGCTACCCTCAGGGTGGGGAAACGTGGCTACGTCATTGACACCCGATCCCTGAACGTGGCTCAGCAAGCTAGAGCCAAAGGAGGTGGCTTTGAACAAGAAGCCCATTATCCCCAGTGGAGGCGAATTCATAAGTCCATTGAGAGGTAAAAGATTCCAGAGATAGTAAGGACCCTTATTAGAAGCTAATTACAGTGGACAAGGTGTTAGCTGTTCAAAAATGACAAGTGTTCAAATTAACCTATGCATTAATTTAGGGTCAGTAATTTGCTAGTCATCTTCTCATTTTTTTGTCAGCTTTATAAGGTTTAAATGACAAGTAAAAATTACGTATTTGTGATGTACACTGTGCTGTTTAGATATAGGTACGTATGCATTGTAAACTGATTAAATGAAGTGAATTAACTCACCTCGAATTATGACCATTTTCTTGGATGGTGAGAACATTTAATATTTATTCTCTTAGTAATTTTTAAGCATACAGTATATTATTTTTAACTACAGTTACCGTGCTGTACAATAGACCTGCAGAACTAATTCCTCCTAACTGAAACCTTGTAACCTTTGATCAGCATCTCCCCATATCTGTGTCTCCCCTCCCCCAACCCGTCCTGCCACTTTCTCATCCTCTGGCAACCACCATTCTACTCTCTGTTTCTATGAGTTTAACTTGTTTAGATTCTACATATTAAGTGAGTTGATGCAGTATTTATCTTTCTGTGCATGGATGCCTGGCTTATTTCATATGGCATGATGTCTTCCAGGTTCATCCATCTGTTGCAAATGAAGGGTTTCCCCTCTTTCTTATTTTTATTTTTATTTTTTGAGATAGAGTCTAGCTCTGTCATGCAGTCTGGGGTGCAGTAGCACAGTCCTGGCTCACTGCAACCTCTGCCTTCTGAGTTCAGGTGATTCTCCTGCCTCAGCCTCCTGAGTAGCCGGGACTACAGGCACACGCCACCATGCCTGGCTAATTTTTGTATTTTTAGCAGAGACAGGGTTTCACCACGTTGGCCAGGCTGGTCTCAAACTCCTGACCTCAGGTGATCGGCCTGCCTCGGCCTCCCAAAGTGTTGGAACTTTATGCGTGAGCCACTGTGCCCAGCGCCTCTTTTTTAAGGCTGAATTGTATTTTATTGTGTATCATACCACATTTTCTTAATCCATTCATCCATTGATGGGCACTTAGGTTGAATCTGTATCTTGGCTATTATAAATACTGCTGCCGTGAACATGGAAGTGCGGGTACCTCTTTGAGATCCTGATTTCATTTTGAATATTCAAAATATTTACCCAGCAGTGGAATTACTGGATCTTATCACAGGTTCATCTTTAATTTTTTAAGGAACCTCCATACTGTTTTCCACAGTGGACATACTAATTTGCATTCCCACCGGCATTGTATAGTAGTTCCCTTGTGTCCGTGTTCTCAGCACCACTTGCTGATCTTGTCTTTTTAGTGATAGCCATTCTAACAGGTGTGAGGTGATACCGCATCGTGGTTTTGAATTTCATTTCTCTGATGATAAGTGATGCAGAGCATTTTTTTTTTTTCCTGAATACCTGTTGGCCATTTGTCTTCTTTTGAGAAATGTCTGTTCAGGTCTTGCCCGTTCTTTAATCAGGTTATTTGTTTTTTTGCTATTTATTTTTTTACGTATCTTAGATATTAACCCCTTATCCAGTGTATTGTTTGCAAATGTTTTCTCCCATTCCGTCGGTTGTCTCTACTCTATTGATTGTTTTGCTATGCAAAAACTTTTTAGTTTGATGCAGTCTCATTTGTCTATTTTTGCTTTTGTTGCCTGTGCTTTAGAGGTCATATCCAAAAAAATCTGGGCCCACACCAATGTCCAGAAGCTTTTTCCTTGTGTTTTCCTCTGATGGTTTTAATTTCAGGTCTTATGTGTAGGTCTTTCGTCTAGTTTGAGTTGGTTTTTGAATATGATATGAGGTAAGGGTCTAGTTTGTTCTGCATGTGCATACCCAGTTTTCCCACCACCACTCACGGAAGAGACTCCTTTTGCCATTGTAAGTTCTTGGCACCTTTTTCAAACATCAATTGACCATAGATGCCTGGATTTATCTCTGGGCTGTATATTCTATTCCACTGGTTGATATGTCTGTTTTTATGCCCGTACCAAGCTGTTTTGATTACTGTAGCTTTGTAGCATATTTTAAAATCAGGTAGCCTGTGAGGCCATCAGGACCTGGGCTTTACTTTGATGAGAGATTTTTTTTTTCAGTTTCCTTACTCATTATTGGTCTGTTCAGATTTTCTTTCTTCATGACTCAGTCTTGGTAGGCTGTATGCTTCCAGGAATGTATCCATTTCTTCTAGATTATCCAGTCAATTTGTTGATGTGTAATTGTTTACAGTAGTCTTTTATGATCCCTGTATTTCTGTGATATCAATTGTAGTATCTCATCTTTCATTTCTGATTATATGGATTTGTATTGTTTCTCTCTCTTTTTTTAGTGAAAGAACCTTTAGCTAAAGGTTTGTCAGTTTTATCTTTCTTTTTGAACAGCTAGGCCTTGTGTTTGATAAGCGAAAGCTGTGCTCTTGGAGGCCTGCCGGAGTCCCTGTCACCAGCATTCTTTCTCTAAGCCAGCCCTGTGGTCTCATCGACACAAGGCCGGCTCCTGTGCGTGTGGATCAGCAGTTGCCACACTGAACAGATTTGCTACATATGCTTGTATTTTCCTAAGTCAAAGACATTAGAGATTTAATTTCTCCCCATATCGACCTATTTTCGCACAGTTTCCTCCACCTGTAGTGTCTTGTTTGCACTGTAAAAGAGTCATTTGTAAGTGTCTCTAGGTGGGTGAATGGGAGTTGTAGCCAGGAAACAGTGGGATCCGAGGTGGGCTGGATAAGACTGCTGATGGCACAGGATCTCTAGTGTTAGATTGGTGGGAACAGGATTGCAGATGTCAGTGGCGCTGTGTCTCCTGACCTGTCACGAAATGCAGGGTTCTGGCCTCTCCTCTAGCCAAATAATTCACCTATGTGAACTGGGTTTCATCTGTTTAGATGAGGAATAGGTTACCGTGGCAGGCATTTTAAGCTTTGCAACGGTGTGTGAATATTCGTTTTTCAACCCTTAATCCTCAAATGACTGTATAGCAGGGTTAATATTTTTATAGTATTTTGAGCTACTTTTGCTCTTGGATATGTTGGAGGCTGAATCTTTGGTTTCATCTTTCTATTTTCTGGGTTTTTTATTTTTTACTTTCTTATTTTTAAAAGGTATCACATTCTTCAGGAAAGCTTAATCAAACTCGTAGAAGCTTGTAATGACCAAACACATAACATGGATCGATGGCTCAGTAAATTGGAGGCCTCTAACTGGCTGACTCACATCAAAGAGATTCTGACAACTGCCTGCCTCGCGGCTCAGTGCATCGACAGGTAAAGTGCATTTCAGCGTTCCTGCGCGGACATGCTCTGATAAGCAGACTTTGTGTTTATCCAGACACATTTATAAACTATGTGAAAGTCTGCAGTAAATTACTGTGAGGCTAGTGAGCAGCATCCCATTATTGATGAGGTGCGTGCCTAGCGTCTGGCATTTAATAGATAATGTTTGTTTAATGAATGTGAACCATGTACATGTACATGTCTTCTGTGACACACATTTTTAAGTACTAATGGACCTACTTTTTTTCTATAACATCCTTAAATCTTGAATTAGCCAATTTTTTCTTAAACTATGAAAAAGAATGAAAGGAAGTTTTCTTATTTTTTCTTAAAGGAACAAACTTACCTCCTTACTTTTGAAATATCAGTGAAAGAAAACATCTAATTTTGTTACACAGTGAAACGATCCTTTCTGACCTCTGGGATATCTTATTTCAAACTCCTTGATATGTGCCATTACGTCTGGATCTCAAGTTGAGGAAACTTAATGGTAGTGATGTTGAGTATATGAAGTGATTTTGTTTATTCACTCAGTTAAAGTTGCTAATCCTTGAGCTCTGTGGCAGAAGACTTGAACAGAGGCAGAAGGATTGGCATAAATTCTTGCAGAAGCTTAGAATGCCCTTTTTAAGAAGGGGATTCCACTGAAACGGTAGGTATAATGTTATTACCACATGGCTAGATGGCACTTTTCTTTGAGATTTTAATTTGTTTTATCGGTGCTTCTGTATGAGGGAAATATATACGTAATTTGTTATGGACAGAGAGAAATTCATAATAGAATGGGTTGCTAAAATCATGTCATAAGTTAGTGACAACTGTGAACAGGTAGAGTCCCTTGGGGTCAAGATTGCCAGGCTATCCCTGGTTTTTTTGTTTTAGGCGTTAGGTAAGCCCATTTAGTTGACGAAATGCGGGAATTAAAGACCAAGGTTCTATGGCAGAGAAATAACAAATGCATAATGATATTGTTAATACTGAGGGTTTTGTTTCTTTTTAACCTAAGTTCACCAGATTTCTCCTTACATTGTAAGTACGGAGGCTTCTGTTTTCTTATGAAACAGGACTTGCCAAAAACAGTTATCACCACACTGTCTGAGTTTTCAGCTGTAGGAACACGATGATGCAGACGAAGACACCCCGCAGTGCAGAGTGCAGAACAGTACTCATCATCTCCACCTTCGTTTCGTTTGAGCTGGTTGCCTTAAAGGCAGAGACGTCTAGACTCTTGGGAAGGTTCAGGATTTTGGTTTATTTTGCTTTGTTTGGGTTCCTTTTTCTGATATATATTGCCTATTATTTATACCTCCATAAAAATTTGCCCTTACAATTAATTACTGAAAGCATAAAAATAGACTTTAAGTGAATTGAATTAAATTTAGAATATCTCAAGATAATTAATGTACATCTGCAGTATATACAGAAGATTTAGAGTACATGCTCATCCCTTTCAGCCTAGTCGTTAGATTTTATCCTGAGAATGGGGTTAACCTAACCATAAGTGACTTCAAGGAATCCGTTAACTTTTAAATTCATAACCCTCAAATAATTCAGCAGAAGACAATAAGCTAAGTACATCGTCTGCGGTGTAATAAAAATTGGCATAACCCAGATGTCCAACTGTAGGATTAAATAAACTGCAGCTCATCACTGAATAGAATATCATGCACAGGCATAGCTTGGAGACGTTGCCAGTTTGGTTGCAGAAAACCACAGTAAAGCAAATAACGCAATCAAGTGAGTCACATTAATGATCAATATTTGGTTTTCTAGTGCATATAAAGTTATGTTTACACTATAATGCAGTCTGTTAATTGTGCATAATATCATGCCTAAAAAAGCAATGTATATACCTTAATTTAAAAATACTTTAGGCTGGGCGCAGTGGCTCATGCCTGTAATCCCAGCACTTTGGGAGACCAAGGTGGGTGGATCACCTGAGGTGAGGTGTTTAAGACTAGTCTGGCCAATATGGTGAAAGCCTGTCTCTACTAAAAATACAAAAATTAGCCAGGCATGGTGGCATGTGCCTGTAGTCCCAGCTACTTGGGAGGCTGAGGTAGGAGAATTGCTTGAACCCAGAAGGCGGAGGTTGCAGTGAGCTGAGATGGTACCACTGCCCTCCAGTCTGGGTGACAGAGCAAGACTGTGTCTCAATGAATGAATGAGTGAATGAATGAATGAATAAAATTTTATTGGTATTTCAGATTACTGACCCTGGTAGAGGGTCTTGCCTCCCCATTGATGGCTGCTGACTGATCAGGGTGTTGGTTACTGAAGGTTTGGATCACTGCGGCAGTTTCTTAAATAAGACAGCAATGAAGATGGCCACATCAATTGACTCTTCCTTTCATGAAAGATTTCTCTGTCTCATGTGATACTATTTGATAGCATTTCTCCCACAGTAGAACTTGCAAAATTAGAGTCAGTCCTCTCAAACTCTGCCACTGCTTTAGCAGCTAACTTGATGTAGTGTTCTAAGCCTTTTTTTTTTTTTTTTTTTTTTGTCATTTCAACAATATTCATAGCATCTTCACCAGGAGTAGATTTCATCTCAGGATACTACTTTCCCTTCTCATTCATAAGAAGCAACTCCTTATTCATGCAAGTTTTATTAGGAAGTTGCAGCAATTCAGTCAAATCTTCAGACTTCTATTTAGGAGACAGGGTCTTGCTCTGTTGCCCAGGCTAGAGTGTAGCGGCAGGATCACAGCTCACTGCAGCCTAGAACTCCTGGGCTCAAATGATTCTCCCACCTCAGCCTTCCAAGTAGCCAGGACTACAGGTGCACACCACCATGCTCAGCTAATTTTTTTTTTCAATTTTTAATAGTGATGAGGTCTCTCTTTGTTGCCCAGGCTGGTCTCAAACTCCTGAGCTCAAAGTCCTCCTGCCTCAGCCTTCCAGAGTGCTGAAATTACGGTTGTGACCCACTGCATCCAGTCTTTTTTTTTTTTTTTTTTTTTTTTTTAAGAGGCAGGGTCCTGCCCTCTGTCACTCTAGCTCGAGTGTAGTGGCACAATCACAGCTCATTGTAACCTCAAACTCCTGGTTTCAAGCAATCCTCCTGCCTTAGCCTCCCTAAGTGCTGGGGTTACAGGCACCATTCTCCACCTTTATGTTCCACTTCTAATTCTAGTTCTTTTGCTATTTCTGTAACGTCTGCAGTGACTTCTCAAGTAAAGTCTTACACCCCTGAAAGCATCCATGAGGTCCGGAATCAACTTCTTCCAAAATCCTGTTAATGTTGTTTTTACTTCCTCCCATGAATCACAAATGTTTTTAACGGCATCTAGAAAGGTGAATTCTTTTCAGAAGGTTTCCAATGTATTTTGTCCAGAACCATCACAGGAATCGCTAGCTAAGGCAGCTATGGCCTTATGAAATATATTTTTTAAGTAAAACTTGAAAATGGAAATGACTCTTTGATCCATGGCCTGCAGAATAGTTGTTGTTTTAGCTGGCACAAAAACAACATTCATCTCCTTGTACCTCTCCATCAGAGCTCTTAAGTGACCAGGTACATTGTCAGTGAGCAGTAATGTTTTAAAAGGAATCTTTTCTTCTGAGCAGTAGGTCTCAACAGTAGACTTAAACTATTCAGTAAACTATGCCGTAAACAGACGTACTATCATCCAGGCTTCCTTGTTCCATTTATACAGCACAGACAGAGTACATTTAGCATAACTCTTAAGGGTTCTAGGATTTTCAAAATTCCAAAGGATCACTGGCTTCAACTTAAAGTCACCAGCTGCATTTTTCCCCTAAGAAGAGAGTTAGCCTGTCCTTTGAAACCAGGCACTGATTGCTCCTAGCTCTAGCTATGAAAGTTCTAGATGACATCTTTTTTCAGTATAGGGCCATTTCATCTACATCGAAAGTCCATTGTTTAGTGCAGCTGCCTTTATCAGTGGTCTTTGCTAGATCTTCTGGGTAACTCTGCAGCTGCTGTGTGCAGCACTTGCTGCTTCTCCTTGAACTTGGATGTTATAGAGAGATAGCTTCTTTCCTTAAACCTCATGAATCAGCCTCTGCTAGTTTCCAACTTTTCTTCTACAGCGTCCTCACTTCTCTCAGCCTTCACAGACACGGAAACTTAATCATTTCTAGCTTTTGATCTAAAATGAGCCATGCTACTCCTCCTTTCATTTGAACACTGAGAGGCCATTGTAGGGTCATTAATTGGCCTAATTTCAATTTGTTGTGATCCAGGAAATACAGTCTCCCTGAAAAGAGAGAGTCAGAGGAACAGTTGGTTAGTGGAGCAGTGGGGGCACACACAACATTGATCAATTCAGTTCACTTTCTTATATGAACGTGGTTGGTGATGGCCCCCCAAATTCCAGTAGTAACATCAGAGATTACTGATCACACATCACGATAACAGTGGTAGCAACAATGAAAACTTTAAAAATATTGTGAGAATTACCAAAATGAGGCAGACACACAAAGTAAAACATGCTGTTGGAAAAAGAGTGCCAGCATACTTGATCGCCACAGGATGGCTGCACACCTTCTGTGTGCGGAAAAAGCAGTTTCTGAAGAGCAGCGGAGGGAAGCTCCGTGAACGAGCTGTGCCTGCAGCTGTTCATATCCCAGCTCTGAAGATGCTGTACAAACGTGGAAGGGCACGCATGTAGAATAAGAGTGAGAATAGAGGAAACTGCCTTTTATGAAAGCTCTGTGTAGTATGGGAAAACAACTGACAGCAGTAACCAAACCTGAAGCTGTTGTGTGAAGGTGTTTTTTTTTTTTTTTTTCCCTGAAATTTCCTTCATCGTTTCAACAGAAAGCGTGGAAGAGGGAGAGGGGAGAAGAGGGAAGAAGATGTAGTAAATTGGGTTTTGGTGTTTTCTTTCATTCTCTTTAGAATAACGGGGTCCCAGACACTCATGAGTCTCACCATGCAGTGATGTCTTTACCACTGACTTTCTGGTTTGACAGTTTTGTGTTTGCTTTTTTCCTGTTGTCACGTGAAAGTGTGGTCAACGTCTTGTTTTCCAGATCCATTACAGTTTATGAAGGTGTTCTTATAGTCAGCTGATGGTGGAAAGGTAGAGCCAAAGTCAGAAAAATCATTTGAATGTATGTTTATAGGTTTGGTGAGAAAAGGCTTTAACCAGCAATTAAAACAGAAAGGATAAATACCTTCTGTGATAAGGGCTGCTTTTTGGTTTTGTAAAGGGAAAGAAAAATTCAGCTAAAAAGTTCTGTGAAATTTGTTACAATTTAAAGAGGTCTGGCCATGTGGAATTTGGGATTCATTATAGTCCTATTTTTTTCCCTAAGAGAAACTCTTATCTGTCATACGCCTCATTTAGATTCTGAACTCTACCAGTCAGAGCAGAATGTTGCACTCAATAAACTGAATAGACTAAAATCATATACTCAATAAACATTCATTATTAACAGAGTTCATTGACTATCAGGCATTTTCCATTTGCCCTCTTCCCTGACTTTCCTTTCAGGGAAGGAGCATCAGTATTGATTCACGGGACAGAAGGAACTGATTCCACACTCCAGGTGACTTCCCTGGCCCAGATCATCTTGGAGCCAAGAAGCAGGACGATTCGTGGTTTTGAGGCTCTGATTGAGAGAGAGTGGCTGCAGGTGAGGAGAGCTGTTTGATTCTCAGAGGAACTGCTAACTGATGCTGTGATCCTGGTTTGTGTGGTAGCTGACATAGTGTGTGAAATTTTGATTAAAATTTCTAAATTGTGTATTTAATTTTCTGCAGGCCGCTTAATGTATCTTCTCCTCATTTCTGGATCTCTCTTTGCCCGTGTTCCTTACTTGACACTTTGTTCCCTTGGCAAACTCTGGTTGGCTGTGCTTTGTCACATAAAGGAGAAATACAAATAATGAAAGGGAAGATAGTACGGTCTCCCAGAAGCTGGGTCTCAACAGATCAAAGACATAAGCAGTCCAGGAAGGAGGAGTGGGGCCTGTAGTTGCGGGGAAAGCGCTTTAGCCCTTTCTGCCTTTTCCCATGCTCCACCCTGCCCTCATGCCTAACCAAGTGAAACATCTCTGCTTTTGAGATCAGCTTCATGCCCCTATATTCACAAAGTCTGAAACCTTAGTTTCCTTCACATGTAAAACTGAATCATGTAATGTTGGATGACTACCCGAAATAAAGGTCTCACTCATAACAGGAATTGATATCCTCCAAATCAGAGATTACTTATGAATATAGTTTTACTGTGTAACCTGGTAAATAATTGTTTTTGAAAACAAACGCTTAGATATCTTGAAAGCAGACGCGTTTCTGGCAGAAAGAATTTCTGGCTCCTCTGGTTACAATTCACATTTATTATGTCTTCATGCTGTTACATACACCATGTCCACTCTGCCTGACAACTGACCTTACCTCTATTTAAATCAGACCATCCTAAGTTTATGCTTTGTATTTGGTGAAAGTCTGTTGAGCTATATTCCTCGTGATGCATAATAGACAAATAAATGACTGACTTAGTTATATGTTATTTTAATGGATATCAAAATTCTGTGAGCCACTGTAAAATTTCTAAGGCATTACCTTTGTCACATACGGTAGTGGAAGGACCCAGAGACAAAACAGATCTGTGAAATTCCTAGCAGAGTGTATGATTTGGGTTAAGGTCAGTGCTTGGATTCTTAACAGGAGTCAAATGAAGCTTTACTTTGGTCAGTAGATGGCAGATTCTTGCCGTTCTTTTTGGAAGAAGAGGGTAATTAAAGATAACTTTATCTCCAGTAGAAAAGTATTCATAAAGATCTTTCAATGCAATAACTTTTCATATGTAATTAGAGATTTACTATCAGAGCTGATGAAATAAGGTTGATCAGAGTTCCGTATCTGTCTCTACTTAGAGGAGGCTTGTATATAACACAATCTACAGTGTTCGACAGAAGGTGATGATTCTTCTTTGTTTGTACTGAGAGCTTATGTTCTTTGACTTTACTCCAAATTTTGCAGACCTAGAAAGATTTATTTTGTAGGTTTATTATGACTTAAGTTCATTATTCTTCCATAGGATATTCTAAGGGCAATTGCAGTTCCGATGGTCACGCTTTAGCTGCAGAGCCTCATTAAGGATTTGGAAGTGTCTTTTTCCTTAGTTGCTGAAATTGTCTATTTTATAACAAGAAATCATTAATCTGTACAACAGCTACCCTAATATATGATGTTCCAGGCACTAGGATTGTCACTGTAATTGTGTGTAGTGGTGTTGGTAGTGTGATTGTGTGTAGTGGTGTCGCCATTGTGATTGTGTGTGGTGTCGTCGGTAGAATGCGCTGCCATGTGATCTCACCAGGATTTGACTGTCACACCTCCATCTTCCCCCTAGGCTGGTCACCCGTTCCAGCAGCGCTGTGCACAGTCAGCCTACTGTAACACCAAGCAGAAGTGGGAGGCTCCTGTATTTCTTCTCTTCTTGGACTGCGTGTGGCAGATCCTTCGTCAGTTTCCCTGTTCTTTTGAATTTAATGAGAATTTCCTCATCATGCTCTTTGAGCATGCTTATGCTTCACAATTTGGAACATTTCTGGGCAACAGCGAAAGTGAAAGGTGGGTACACTGTTCACACGGGGACCTTTCCGTTTCCGCTGTATTGGCTACTTCCTAAAGGAGACCATGATTTGGCTCTCTATTAAAACTATTTATAAGAAGGTGGAGGCTACAGTTAAATGACCTGGAGTATATTCTTATTATGAGACAATCTCATGCTAGGTGAGAGAGTGTCCTAGACTTGCCTGTTAGATTAAAATTAGTCCATACATGAATTAAGTGGGGCAACCTTCTTAAATGTTAATTTCTTTACATAGGATCATAGTATCTTACACATGGAAGAAGTCTTAATTTATAATGAGCTATTCCCTCTAATTTTGTTAAGAAAGTAAGACCCAGAGAAGTTAAGTGACTTTTCCCAGGATCCACAGCCAGTTGGTCATCAAAAATATGGCCTGGAGCAGCAGCCCCCAGCCATTTTGGCCCCAGGGACCGGTTTCCTGGATGACAGCTTTTCCATGGATTGGGTTGGTGCAGGACTGGTGATGGTTTGGTGATCTCTTCCAGCTCAGATCATCAGGCATTAGATTCTCATAAGGAGAATTTTCATAATTCTCTCTTTAGATTCTCATAAAAGCGCACCCTGGATTCCTTGCATGTGCAGTTCACAGTAGGGTTTGTGTTCCTGTGAGAATCTAACGTGCTACTGATCTGACAGGAGGTGGTAATGCTCGCTCACTTGCCGGTCACCTCCTGCTGTGTGGCTGGTTCCTAACAGGCACAGACCCTTGACTGGTCCATGGCCTGGGGTTTGGGGATCCCTGGCTTAGATTACATGTTTTCCTCCTCCTGCTCTAGACTTTGTTACACCTAGAAACTGTCCTCAGGCCCAGAGTGACAAGCTCACCTCACAGCCAGGCACCATCTAGTGTATAGGTTCATTTAGAAGCTTTGCATCAGAATGATCTTTCAGGGAGCTTGCCCTATAGTCTCTGTGGGTACAATCATCAGGCTTCCTTGTCTCATGGCTAGCAGCCATTGTTTTCTAGAGCATGTGCTGTTTAGCCCTGGACTGTACTCTGGCAGGGACAGGAGAAGGGATTGGCAATTTCTATAGCCAAGGAAGTTTGGCGAACGTGGCATAGTATCTTCCCCTCTTAGAGGGTCACAAACACGTAGTCATCAAAAGCTTTAAGACACCCTTCAGTAAAGCAGTGTCTATAACTTTAATTCAACATTTAAGAAATGTGTCTGACTATGAATTTCTTTTTTGGTGTTAATATCTCAGGACTAGCTTTCAAGAAAGGGATCACAAATAGATTCCCATTCTGCTTCCTAGTTGGTAGAGGCTGCCAGTAATGCTGATTGAGAAGGATTCTGAAGTGGTGTCTGGCTCAGCCAGAACAATTTCAGTGGTTGGCTGGCCATGGGCAGGGGGCACAGGGCCGGAGGCAGTGGGTGCGGTAATATCCTGTCCTTGCTGTCCCTGGCTCCTGGGAACATGGCATGGACATGCTACCCCAGCAGTTAAAGCCCAGTGCCACATAGGCTCTGTGATTATGTGGATGATTTTTATTGCTAGAGTAAAAGGGACGCGCTAACTAAGTCACATGTAGCTCATAAATAATCAAGTGGTTTCAGAGACCAAACTGATTTTATAATAAAATTTCAGCTTAAACGGATTCTTAGGAGAACTGAATGTACCATCTTTTAGGTTGATGTAAGGTGACTATCTTTCAATCTTGTTAAAATGTATTTTTTTCTAAAACATGTCAGTCGACTCTCTTTCTCTAACAGTTTATTACTTGATAAAGACTGTTACAGAGTTTTAGTTATTATGAAGCCTGTTCATTGTATGTGGATATAGATTATATATGTATTTATATCGAGTCACATTGATTTTTCTTCTGTGACAATCTGTATTTTATGGACATGTAATTTATTTTCCCTAAAAGCTAAGTCTCTAAAAAATTTTAAGTTTTGTTTGAGATTTGACCCAACCTACATTTTTAACATGAATATGGGCATAAGAAGGATACAGTGGACTTTGGGACTTGAGGGGAAGAGGGGAGGGGCCGAGGGATAGAAGGCTACAAATTAGGATACAGTGTACACTGCTCAGGTGATGGGTGCAGCAAAATCTCACAAATCACCACTAAAGAACTTGCTCATGTAACCAAATACCACCTGTTCCCCAATAACGTACGGAGAAATTAAAATTTAAAAAATTTTTAAAAACAATTAGAATGTGGCTGGGTGAGGTGGCACATGCCTGTAATCCCAGCACTTTGAGAGGCCGAGGCAGGTGGATCATGAAGTCAAGAGATTGAGACCATCCTGGCCAACGTGGTAAAACCCCGTCTCTACTAAAAATGCAAAAATTAGCTGGGCGTGGTGGTGTGCACCTGTAAACCCAGCTACTCGGGAGGCCAAGGCAGAATTGCTTGAACCTGGGAGGCGGAGGTTGCAGTGAGCTGAGGTGGCGTCACTGCACTCCAGCCTGGCGACAGATCAAAACTCTGTCTCAAAACGAACAGACAATTAGAATGTAGTTGTCAAACAATGTAAATAATGAAGGCCCTGTGGTCTTTCCAGGCATTCATATTTGTGAGCTATACTGGTTTCTTTCCCTACAACAAGCCCTGTCTTACAGAAACCGTAAATAGGCCATAAATGTAAAAGAAAAAAATGTGTATAATTTTTGTGTTTATATTATAGGCTTCTCAGAAGCAAACAAAAGGATTAGAAAGTTTTTTCATACTGAGCTATTTTAAATTAAAATACAATCCTAAATCCAACAAAGGACTTTCGTATAGTAATGTTCTCTGGGTTGAGGTTTAACACCAAATGTGATGTGACCAGATTCTGTTTTTATCATCCTGCCAGCTTCTTGGAAGCCTGTAAAATACTCTTTGGTTTGTTGCTGTTAAGTTCTTTTTTTTTTTTTTTTTTGAGACGGGGTTTCGCTCTTGTTACCCAGGCTGGAGTGCAATGGCACGATCTCGGCTCACCACAACCTCCGCCTCCTGGGTTCAAGCAATTCTCCTGCCTCAGCCTCCCTAGTAGCTGGGACTACAGGCGTGCGCCACCATGCCCAGCTAATTTTTGTATTTTTAGTAGAGACGGGGTTTCACCGTGTTGACCAGGATGGTCTGGATCTCTTGACCTCATGATCCACCCGCCTCGGCCTCCCAAAGTGCTGGGATTACAGGCTTGAGCCACCACGCCCGGCCTGTTGCTGTTAAGTTCTAATGCCGATTAAGCTTTTTGACAAACCTGTTTATTTTTCAACATTTTGTTTCTCTACTGAAAGTCTTGTGTTTCTGTCTTCTTTCATACTGAGAAGAAATTGTCCTATTAAGAGGAGCATTCATTAATGGTTGTTGTAAATTAATTACTTTAACAACAGTGTTCTTTCTTGATCAGATGTAAGTTGAAGCTACAGCAGAAGACAATGTCTTTGTGGTCCTGGGTCAATCAGCCCAGTGAGCTGAGTAAATACACCAATCCCCTCTTTGAAGCCAACAACCTCGTCATCTGGCCTTCGGTTGCTCCGCAGAGTCTTCCGCTGTGGGAAGGTAAACCACGCATCCTTTGCAAACGTCTTAATGGTCAGGTGTGCACCCAGCTGCCTGTGAGTTTGTGCTGTTGGTGACATATGAAGACGGTGAGCTGGACCATATGAGGATGTCTGAGTGGTCCTCTGACCCGTGTGAATTGTCATTCTCAATGTGGGCACGGTTCTCTCTTTCAAATCAATTATCTAGCCACACTTTATTTTTCAGTTCCCATAGAGAAATTAACAGTGTTTCTTTACATTGCTGTTTATGTTGGATATTTTTTCTAGACAAGAAAGTATATTATTCTTTGCCTAAGAGAGTTGGTAGGTAGTTGGGACATGAATAAATTGTAAGCTCCTCAAGGAGGGTTTCTATCCATTTATTAAGCAGTCGTTAGCACAGGTTCTTGTATTAATGCTATTAAAGAGTTACATGGCTGGGATTCCAGTAAGTTTCTATAAATGGACACAAAATACCATCAATGCAGTGACGCAGATATTTCATTGTTCTTATGGGACAATAATCTATGCTTAACGTTTAAATCTATTCTAAAGTAGGTTTTTTATATACACTGATTTTTCCAACTACTAAAGCTTATCCCTTTAAGTATTGAAGCTTGTTAATAAAAAAAAAAATAACCAAAATCTGCCCACGTGTGGTGGCTCATGCCTGTAATCCCAACACTTTGGGAGGCTGAGGTGGGTGGATCACTTGATATCAGGAGTTTAAGACCAGCCTGGCCAACATTGCAAAACCCCAACTCTACGAAAAACACAAAAATTGGCCAGGTGTGGTGGTGCAGGCCTGTAGTTCCAGCTACTCAGGAGGCTGAGGCAGGAGAATCACTTGAATCCAGGAAGTGGAAGTTGCAGTGAGCAGAGATTGCGCCACTGTACTCCAGCCTGGGCGACACTGCAAGACTTTCTGAAAACAAAAATAACCAAAATCTGTGTAAACTATGTAGTTGTTCATTTAACAAAGACTATAAAATACCATTTAACTTTTTAAAGTTATTTTGAAGATAGTAAGCCCATGTTTATTCATGTTTATATTAAACAGCATAAAGTATACATATAAGAACGGTAACTTTTTGATAAATTAGACTGAATTACCGTTAATGCCAGTTGTTATACCGTGTTCTATTATGTTATACTCTCAAAGGCAATTCATGTGTAGAAAACTATTTGCCCCTTGTGGAAACAGGTCTCAAGTTGCTTTGCCTTCCCAGTCTGAGACAGTTTCTGTCTCTTCTCTGGATGTCAGCTGTCACATCTAGTTGCTCTTGGCCTATCTGCCATTAGTGGCTTCCTTCCACCTCAGTTCATGCTTCTAATCTTATCTGTTGAGGCATCCCCTAGTTATCGTTGTGGGGAAATGGCCTTAGATGGTCTTGAGGTTCTGAGTGTGAGCATTAGTGCTTTGATCTTGTGAAGTGACAGTGGCTGCTCAGAACTTCTCTTTGCTTGCTTTCCTGATTGTTGTCACAGTCACAGTGTAGGGCTCGTGAGCTCTTAAATGAGAGGTTACAGGTGTACTTCCTGTTCAAGACTTCTGGGACAATGTACCTAAAAGCGACTGTCATGTTTAATAACTGATGAGAGTAGCTGTTTGGGAGAAAAGCCACGTTGGCAGCTGGGTGGCCTGATGGATGATTTCACTGCTTTGTACCAAATCTCCTGGGGAGCTTAGAGACAGATGATGGGATGCAATCCTTGTTGTTCTGTGGATGAATTCCCGCCACACCGGAGTTTCAGTGTGGGTTTCATGCTCCTCAGCCTAGAACTGGGAGAAGCTCTCTATTAGGTAAAATCCCACGGTAGGCATACGTATTGAATGAAACTGCTCTTCGGCCTTAAAATGTCTCTCTGCTGTTTACATTTACATCACAGCTAACTATTAATATTTAGTAATTCCTGGATTGAAGAATAATAGGTTCATACAATGGAAAAATCAACATGGGTGGGTCAGGCTTTAGGCTGTGGTTCTGCTCCCCCTTTCTGACAGAGCCTGACATTTAGACCTGCATAGAAGGGCTCATTAGGACCCATGGCAGTTTGGATTGTAGAAAGTGTTTTAATGCATCATAAAACCTTCGTGCACTGGCCGTCTGCTGACACGGTGTGGCCTGGCAAGTTTTCATGCCTCCTTATTCCAGTATCTGTAAGGCCTTATTTTGGTATGATATGGTTAACAAAGTGCTACGGAGTGGAAAAAATATTTCCTTCTAGTTCATAATAAAAGGATAATTTTTATTATTTGGGAAAGAAGCGGTTGGCTGCAGTATTGAAAGATTGCCCCTCAAGTAACCGAGAGCGAGCCTGTGAGCACATGTGCTACAGCTTAGGCTTTCAAATAGCAACTTGTGTGCTTCCGCTTTGCCTGTAGCTGTCACTCCTCTGGTGAGAATGGTTTCACACATTTAAGAGATCTGACATGTCTGAGTAAAATTCTATAATTATCAAGTGATTTGTATTGGGAAATTGGAAAGTTTATGACATCGTAAATTATCAACTTGTTTTCCTGAATATATCATAGAATGATATTTGGATCTACTTGATAATTTTGTGGGATATTTCCAAAGAATCAATGAGCATGTACATACAGCTAGTGACTTTTCAGATAGTGTTTAATTGCATTATTTTCAGTACCTCAAGATTCCTGTATATTTTAGAGTATAATAAGACACAGATGGGAGTTGTGGAAACAAGACAAAATAATGTATTTGGGAGGCCAAGGTGGGCAGATCACGAGGTCAGGAGTTTGAGACCAGCCTGACCATTATGGTGAAACCCTGTCTCTACTATACATTTCCACTTATTTTCACTAGAGCTGAGGGTGTTTCTGGCTCTAAAATATTGAGCTCCTTGTCTAGTTAAGTGTTAAGAGATACAAATATGAACATGTGATAAGAACAAGATGTTCACATACTAGGATTATGTGGTGGGGAAAGAAATCTGTGTTGCTCTGAACTAAAGGTGGGTTAATCGAAGGCAGTCTGTAAGTAAGTTTTCAGTTTTAATTTAATCAGAGTAACAGATAGTAATTTTCGGGCCAGGCGTGGTGGCTCAACCCTGTAATCCCAGCACTTTGGGTGGCCGAGGCGGGTGGATCGTGAGGTCAAGAGATCGAGACCATCCTGGTCAACATGGTGAAACCCCGTCTCTACTAAAGATACAAAAAAATTAGCTGGGCATGGTGGCGCGTGCCTGTAACCCCAGCTACTCAGGAGGCTGAGGCAGGAGAATTGCCTGAACCCAGGAGGCAGAGGTTGTGGTGAGCCGAGATCGCGCCATTGCACTCCAACCTGGGTAACAAGAGCGAAACTCCGTCTCAAAAAAGAAAAAAGAAAAAAAAAAATGTAAAAAATTAGTCATGCGTGGTGGTACGTGTCTGTAATCCCAGCTATTCGGAAGGCTGAGGCAGGAGAATTGCTTGAACCCAGGAGGTAGCGGTTGCAGTGAGCCGAGATTGTGCTATTGCACTCCAGCCTGGGCGACGAGCAAGACTCCATCTCAGAAAATAAAAAAAGGATGTATAATACATAAATTATATCACCCACAAAGATAATTTTAATCCATTATATATACCTTTCTTCCTTCTGTTTTCCATTCCTGGATTCAATAGGTATTTTCCTACGTTGGAATAGATCCTCTAAATATTTGGATGAAGCGTATGAAGAAATGGTTAACATCATTGAATATAATAAGGAATTACAAGCAAAAGTCAATATCCTTAGAAGGCAGTTGGCAGAACTGGAAACAGAGGATGGGATGCAAGAGAGTCCCTGAAAGGTCTCCTCACACCCTTCGTAAGGACCTTCCTGGGCCTGTGTCCACCTCTCTCTCCTTGTGCCCTTCAATTCACTTTACGCGGTAGCCTTGAAGTAAAGGCTTTGGACGTGGGTCCCTTCTAACGTAATGGATTTCTCAATACTGTGTGAATAATGAAACTATCGTAACTCATGTTTCATGTGGCCTGTTAGGCCCTGTCACTTGGAGCAGGAAGGAGGTGCTAGTCATTTTATTTTTACGTGAAATAGATGACCTATTTAATGCCATTTGTGTTCATGCCATTTATCGAAAGCTTTTTTTCTGTGCCCACTCCCTAAACAGCATTCTAGAGCAGTCAGGGAGACAGTTAATCTCTCTAGGGACTATTTGGTGGTTTTAAAAAGGGTCAGACTTTTAAACCCTCTGAGCATAGAAATGTTTCTCAAAATGGTAGTGATTGATAAACCGAGAATTTTGTGTTTAACATACCATTTCCAGTGTCTTTGCCACATCAAATAACCATTTTCTTTAAAATAGTTTTGGACTAACGAAGCTGAATCTGTTCTCATTCTTGTTTGTCAAGAAAGGAAAATCTGTTGTTCAAGGTAAATTATTTCTTCAAGCGCAACAGGTATGGTCCTCTGATACTTACATTGAGAAGAGTTAAATTTATTTTAACGTAGACACTAAAAGTATGTGCAATATAGAATTAAAGTAGGAATTTGTTACTGGTTGAGAATTGTTACTGTCGAATTGTTTTTATTTTAGGTTTTGACCATACATATACAATGTGTATCAAATGCTGGTTGTAAAATTAAACCATCATCTAGAATAGAGTTAATTTGTTATAATCAAGCTACAAATACGGTTGTCTTAAACCAGAGATGATGCACTGCCCTTGTCTAAAGTTCTTATTGCACTGGTTTATATATGTATGTGTGTTTTATTGTGTGTGTTTTTTTTTAATTTGTAAGTATTCTAAGAGTTTACTAATACTAACGTTAAAATTTTCATGTTGACCTGAGCCTTTTGCAGATTTATTTTGACTCTATTCATTTGCCCATTATGTGTTAAGCAAATATAGCTTAAGTGAAGGGGGATGTTTGTAAATATGATGTAACTCTGTGTTTTAAACTTCAGGACAGATTTGAGTGTTTCAGTGTTACAGAAACAGTGATGGCTGTATTCATGCTCTGCCAGTTTATGCCTGCAACTCCAAATACTTGTGGTTCGGTATTTTGCACCTACATTTCTGTTAGGTGACATTGCTCATTTTAACAGATACGACCAATTCTAGTTGTTCTTTAAAAGGATAGTTATGAGTAATCTTTAAAACCATTTTCATACCATCTGTATATAACCAGTTCGGTAAAGAACAAACCACACTGAACCCTGCTTTAGAGCTGTGTATTGAGCTAAAAATGTAATTTTTAAAAAATCGACTAGCAAAATCTGTGGCTACATAGAGAGCCTTCGAAAATGGCAAATACTTTGTATCACCAGTTGTCTAAGTTTCATCTTTCTTCTGCTTCCTCAGCCTTGTAGCAAAGGCTAGACAGCAGCCCATAGTCCACAGTCTCTTTGGGAAAATTTGCCTGCTGCCCTCTTTAAGCTCAGCTTATTCTTGACTGACTTTCTGTGCTGTAGTTATGAACCTTCAGGCATTATAACCCCATGGCAAGGAGCCTGTGAGGTGTAGTTGCATCTCTGCATTGTGTGAAATGGCCGTCTTAGTTTTGTAAAAAAAGGAGACAGCCTCGCTTTTGTGTGTCCCTCAGAATTGCTTGCTCTGTCTGTTAATACAGCTCACCCTTTTGATTTCTCCTCTTTTCGTCTCAAGATTGTATATGAAGGAGCCCTTTTCTTCTCAGCCAACAGGCATGTAAGGAAAACCATCTAGAGAGTTTTCTTTAGAAGTGACTCCCATTAGCTAGGTGTGTGCCTGTGGTCTCAGCCACTAGGGAGGCCGAGGCAGAAGGATCCCTTGAGCCCAGGAGGTTGCGGCTGCAGTGAGCTATGATCACATCAGTGCACTCCAGCCTGGGCAACCGAGCAAGACCCTGTCTCTAAAGAAAAAACCAGAAGTGACTCCCAGTGCTTATATTGATAGGCCCATAGGGCGTCCATGGGTGGAAACTTGCGAGGGAGTTTGTGTTCGGCTTGGTCATGGAGCGATTTCCGTGCCATCAAGTTAGACCCATCTTCCTGATGAACATTTGCTGTACGAGTCAGAGTACAGTCATAGCACGGAATTTGCATTTCATCTTCTCTGTCTTATTGAGACAACAATCTATACTGTTTTGACAAGTTTGCATTTATAAGTAGGGGTTGTCCAAACTTCAGATCTGTGTACAGGTTGTAAAAATAAACTTTGGTGTCAGTGCATCTTCAAAAGTGTCATTTGGTAATGCAAATATTGGAGTTTTCCTAAAGCCAAAAACTCTGTCAAAAATAAGACGTTTTCAGGCCAGGTGCGGTGGTTCACGCCTGTAATCCCAGCACTTTGGAGGCTGAGGCGGTTGGATCATGAGATCATCCTGGTCAACATGGTGAAACCCTGTCTGTACTAAAAATACAAAAATTAGCTGGGCATGGTGGCCTGCGCCTGTAGTCCCAGCTACTCAGGAGGCTGAGGCAGGAGAATTGCTTGAACCCAGGAGGCGGAGGTTGCAGTGAGCTGAGATCACGCCATTGCACTCCAGCCTGGGTAACGAGTGACACTCTGTCTCAAAAAAAAAAAAAAAAAAAAAAGGACATTATCAATACAATTGGAAGAGGGTTTTTTAGTAGTACTGTTAAGTTTGTCCTTTCTTGGATAAGAGTAGATAACATGGATACACTCATGAGAAGACACTTGTTAAACATTTTATTTGGAGAGTTGCCTTTGGTAAATGTGGTATTAAACACTTTAATGAAGAGAATGGTGGCAGAATGAGTGAGCAAGCAGATTGCCCTGGAGGAGCAGGCAATAATCACTTGAGAGATAACCAGATTCCTACATATTCAGCATCTTCTCTATTCATGTGGAGTGAAAGCTGGTTTTTATTTGGAGACACATAATGTAGGCCCCACAAAGGATATTTTTTAAAATACAAGGGATCATCACAATCTTCTGTCGAACATATAAGGATGCTTAGATTCAAATAAATACTTTTTTTTTTTTAATCAGAAGAATGTTGATGGTTGATTATATATTTTTAAAAACTTGAAACTTTTTTGGTGGCAGGACTTTTCAATAAATATTTATTTGGCCAAAGTTTTTTATTTTGATTTTATTAAATGGGAAGAAACAAGCAGAAATAGTAACATTTGGTAGCTTTAAAACGATCTATAAATATATCTATAAATATAAATCTCAAAGCAAGATTTTAAAGTGACTTTTGAGAAGACTTGAGGGGACAATAATAGACATTCATGTCCAGTCCCATGTGGGGAATTTTAAAACATTTCTTTGAACTTTGAGACCTTTAGAGGTGGGATTGTATTGCTTTTTGTTTTAAAGAATGAAATTTCATGAGATTTTAGTCTTTGATTCAGTCAGTATTTGGTTTATGTTAAATAAAAAGTCAATTATCATGGAAAAGATTTGACCATAATTTACTTTCTTCAAGTGAAAAACAGGAATAATGTTTAGTTGCACTTTGAAAAATCTACTTAAAGGCCTAACTCTTGTAGTTATCTGGTTTCAGGAATAGCTGTCCTAATTGTCAGCCAAAAGTAGGTCATCAGGTTCACTTATCGTCAGACCTTAATCCGAGTTAAAGGTTTTGGTATTTGTCTACTTCTAGACAAAATGAATGAAAACAACACAAGGGTATTATGAGCACTCTTTATCAGAAAGGTATTTCCTGGACCCAAAATGGGCAATAGTTAACAATAGTTGATCCTCTATTCTGGAAGCTTTGAAATTTATTAGAAAATGAAGTCATTCAGTACATCTAATACAGTTGTTTTTTGTTTTTTTTTAAATTGGGCAACCCTCAGAACTGAAGAGGTTCAGAGAGCTCCCAGGTTTGTGCTATACCTCAAGACCATGTAGATAAGCTACTGCTTATTCTTTTGCATTGGCCAGGCCTGTTCTCCTCCAGTCCTGGTATTCTAAGTTATTACCAGATAGTATTTTTATGTTACCCATCATCTTACAAAATATTATAAGACTGATTTCTTCATTTATATGTATTCTCAGGTGATGAGATATATACTATAATTTTCTTATAGTATCAGTTTTCTTTATTTTCTTGGATAAAACTACTTCTACCTTCATTTGGTCTTTATAATTCACTGTCCACAGCATCTTCCTTTAAACCAGTAGTCCCAGAAGAGACCCTCTGAAATTCTAGGACTGGGTTTCAAAATGTCTGAACTTGTTATCTAAATCCTTTTTAAGAAACCTGATGTCCTAGCTCTTGAACTATACTGTGGAACAGTAGTTTGCAACTAATTTAATGGAAGATGGTGGGGCTCACTGCAAGCACTACATTGTCCTGCAGAGTAATTCTGATGATAGTTTACTGAGTTCTAGAGCCATTCTCTTCAACTGTCTGCAGGTCTAAAGATTTAACTGTATTTGTGATTTGTAACAAAACTGAGCTGTACAACACTGCCTGTGTCTGTCTGGCCAAGACAATTACTTCACTTCTAAAATGTACATTTCTTTGGAGAGGTGAATTATTCTACAAAATACACCCTAAATCTCATTGTTTAAAAACCATATTGATCTAATACCATCTACACAAAAATGTTGTACTTGCAGAACTTAGTTTATTTAAAAAAAAAAAAAAAAGAATGTGTATTTCTTCAATAGCCGGGTATTTGGATTGTACTCTTGATATATTTGAATGTGACTCTTGGATTTAAGTGCATTATTACTCATGGCTTAATAAAATTGCACTGTATGGCAAATGTGTCTATAATGTATGCTTTGCTGAAACTTCAAAAGTGCTGTAGGTACAGGTTTCTATATTGTGAACCTGTCTACACACACATACGTATATATAGTCTTAGGGAAAAAACCTGAATTTTGTAAGTCTGTGTAACATTTTAATATTGTTTGTAATATTCACTAAGTGATAATTTCACCTATATCCTATAACTGTAATAATCATTCACCTTGAGTTGGCCGGTTTGTCAACTGAATTTACTAAATCAAGAAACAAGTCTTGTTGAATGTGGTACTGTTCTTAGTGTGTGATATTTATGTATGGTGTTCCTTTGCCTCAGAGGACAGTTGCACAGATGGCTAGTGTTAAATTTCTATAGACAATGGTAATAAAATTGGAATATATTTGTGCTGGTAAATCTGTGGGCTTATTTTGATTTTTTTTTGCAAATATTGGTGAAGGTTTGGATGGTGTTTCAATTAAAACTGCTATACATTTTTTTACCTTCTATTGTGAAAAAATTGAGATCTGCAAAAAGGTTGCAAAATAGTACACTGATCTTCCATGTACCATTCACCTAGATTGAATAATTAGTAACATTTTCCACATTTGCTTTAATACCGTGTGTGTGTGTATATACACTGTTGTTGTTTTGCTGAAATATCTGAATTAGCTGCAGACATTGTGACTCTTTCAAATACTTCACAGGTATGAATTAGGAGTATGTATTTTATATATTGCTGAGTTGGTATGCATTAATATACACAGATGAATCAATGAGGGTAAAAGGAAGGCTCTTTCTTAGAGTGTCAGCTGTTAAATGTAGAAAGAAACTGGAATTAGAAAGCCACTATTTGGCAAATTATCACAGTAATCATTGACTTAGGCAATGCCCATCAGTGAATGGCAAAACTAGAAGGTGGAAGTTTGTGAAGAACAGAATATAGTCTCCAATAGCTTTCCACAAAATGTTTACTAGTTACAAAGGAGAAAATACTAACTTGTATAGTGAAAGGAACTAGTAGATACCACCCTATCTAAGAAAAAGTTATCATTAGTAATGGGACATACCAACATCATGTGCCTTCTGAAATGATCCATCCGGAAAGAGCACCACTTTGGGAGTGAAAAAGCACAACCGGAATCTAATTATGAGGAATCATCAGACAAACCTAAAAACAAAATAAGTGATCTGCTTTCCTCCTTCCTCTTCTTCCTCCTTCTCCTTCTCCTTCTCCTCTTCGTCTCCTTCTTCCCCTTCTTCCTCTTCCTCTTCCTCTTCCTCCTCTTATTCTTTGTTCTTTCTTTTTTTTTTTTAAGTCAGATGTCTGCTGTCCAGGCTGGCATGCAATGGCATGACCGTAGCTCACTGTGTCTTGGAACTCCTGGGCTCAAGTGATCCTCCTGCTCCAGACTCCTGAAGCAAGTACTGCAGATGAGCACCATCATGCCTGGGTAATTCTTTTATTTTTTTGTAGAGACAGGGTCTTGTTGTGTTGCCCATGCTGGTTTCGAACTGGCCCCACGTGATCCTCCCACCTTGGCCTTCCAGTGATTAACATAGATACATAGACCAATGGAACAGAATAGAGTACACAGAAATGGATATGTAAATGTCAAATGATTTTCAAGGATACCAAGACCACGCAATGGGATAAGGACAGTCTCTTCAACAAATAGTATTGGGAAAAACTGGATATCCATATGCAAAAGAATGAAATTGAGCCTGTACCTTACACTGTATACAAAAATTAACTCAGAATGGATTAAGATCTAAATATAAGATTTTAAACCTTAAAACTCCTAGGAGAAACCATAGGGGAAAAGCTTGATGACATTGGATTTGACCATTTCTTGGAATATGACACCAAAGAACAAGAAATAAAAGCAAGATAGACAAATGGGACTACAGCAAAATTAAAAACTTCTGCACATCAGAGGAAACAATAGAGTGAAAAGACAGACTTGAAATGGAGGAAAATATTTGCAAATTATATATCTGATAAAGGGTTAATATTCATAATATAAGAAACACACAATTCAAAAATAACAAAAGCATGATTGAAAAATGGACAAGAGACTTGAATAGACATTTCTCCAAAGACGTAGATACGGCTAACAAGTATGAAAAGATACTAAACACTAGTCATTAGAGAAATGCAAATCAGAATCACAATGAAAGATTACCTCACACCTGTTAGGACCATTATCAGGAAAACAAAATACGTATTGGTAAGAATGTAGAGAATTGGAACCCTCACGGACTGTTCGTAGTAATGTACACTAATGTAACTTCTTTGGAAACTAGTAGAGAGGTTCCTCAAAAAGAAAAAGAGAAAAAGAAAAAGAAAAAAAGAGAGGGAGGGAGGAAGGACACACTTCTAGGTATATATCTAAAGGAACTGGAGGCAGAGTCTTGGAGAGAGAATTGCATACCAGTATTCCTTGTTTTGCTATTGACAGGCCGAGGGGGAACTCAATGCAAATGTCCATTATTGGGTGAAT